AAAAAAAAAAAAAAAAAAAAAAAAGGGAAATACAGACCTTTAAACCCAAGAACTTAAATGCTTCAACTAACTGGCCGATTCTCTTTTCAGAGGGGAAATCTGAAGCAGGATTTGCAGAACTGTCACTGCAGACCGTAGGCAGGGCAGGCCATAAACTCAGTCCTGAACAGCAACTTCCAGCTGCCCTTTCTTGCCTCTGTGCCGAACTGAAAACACAAAATCTGACAGTGAAGACCGCTTGAACCTTGACAATCGTTTATTCACATCAAAATGTTTTGGTGCAACGAGCTGACTACTGTCCAGGGCAAACCTAGTTTTCCAGACTGACGTCCAGGAAAGGAGCAACTCTAAAGCCTGATAAAAATGAAAGACATTCAAGACAGAGGTTCTCTCCTTAGTCATTCCTGAGCGAGACAGAAGTGGCCCATTTTGGCAGCACCAGAGCAACGGGAAAGGAAGCATCCCCTATTCTTTATGACTGCGCCACTCTCGCAGCAGTAACAAACCGGGGTGCCGTTAGCAGCCTAGCGTGGAGCTGTCAGTCGGTACTGAGAGCAGCCCACGTCAGGGCGCAGCTTCACAAGGTTCTGCGTTACCTGGGACCAGCATCGGCTGCAGTCCAAATCACAGACAACATACTTAAGAAAATGAAGAAACCTAATCTGGTGATGCATTGCTTCCTCTTGCTTTGCTTACGAGCGCTGCCTAAAGAGTAAGTTACTTTGGAACCTTTGTAAAGGCTGTGTTAAAGGCTGTGCTTAAATTACCACAGGTATCAAAAGACAGCGACACTACAGGACACTACATTAGCAAGTATCGTACCTGCAGGAAATGTCTTTGTTTACTCAAACATGCAAAGCAGGCACGAGATCTTTCTGTTAAATTCTGTTGCGATGCTTTATCTTAAAAATAGTTGGGAGAGTGAGGTGGAACAAACCTACCCCCAAACTGCTTTCAGGTCTGCCAATGTATCTGTTGGTCCTGCTGGACCCACTGATGGAACCAGTGTTGTCAGCTTCCTCAAAGGACAGATCCTGGCTTTTAGTCCTTGGGCCATTAGAGACTGCACACCACGTTCAAGGTTCCCAGGCACGTCAGACCGGCTATTTTCTCATCTCCCTCTTGCAGACAGTCAGTCCCCTTAGCAACAGAGCTTCCTTCTGAAAAATACAGTCTACGCTTTCGCAGGGTACATGGTGTTAGCTTGAGTTTTAAAGAAATCACTTTGTCGATTTACTACAACTGGAACAATACTTATTGCTGTAATCTTTATTACTTTGAAATAATGTATAGCTAAAGTAAAGTCAAGAAGGTTTTCAAATCTGCCTTCTGGCTTTTCTCTCTTTCTTCTAAGTTAAGCATCCGTTTTAGCTTAGAAAAGTAAAATTTGGAGTTTCGGGGAGTCTTGGAAGCAGAGCTGGTTGTCGCCTGTCCAGATACACGTGTTCTGAAAAACAAAAGACTCAAATGTCATAAAGGTGAGGAATCAGAATTAACACAAAATAACTACAGAAGTGCAAATATATAATTTGAGTGAAAAATTTTGAACGTAAATAGTGTATTTTCACATGAAAGTGAGCATGCAGAAGTGTAACTTGGTTATGCAAATTTTAATCCAGACATTTCACATTAATGACAAAAATATAATTGTGCATTCTCTGCACACAGTTGCTTTTCACTATAATCTTTGATTTTAAAGGTTGGAAAATTACAACTGATCTCCTCAATCAGACCACTAAAGAAAAATACTTAGTTATCAATTTAAAGTTTATTAAGTGACTGATCTGAAATCAGTACATGACACCCTTTCCCAACAATACACTCTACTCAGCAAAGGGCCTCTCTGTACCTGGGAAGTGATGCGGGACTGCTCCCTTTAGATCCCAACCCGTTCCAGCTTACAGGTGTCACTTTGTTTGCAGACTGAATTTTTACATCTGGTGTCCTCAGGGTTGGAGTGCCAGAATTGTGTGTCTTGGTAGCCAGAAAATCCCTGCTTTTACCATAATGTCTTGTTGTTTTGTTGCATGAGTTGCAAGTAACCAGCTATGGAGAGAAGAAAGTATCAACCATTCTTTCAGCCTTTGCACCTTTATGTTATAAAGCCACTGTAAGAATTACCCAAACTATTCTCCAAATTTCACGATACAAATTAAGTATTTGCTTAAGTGAAACATGAGATATTGAAAAGCAACATATGCAATGAAAATACACCTAGTATTTTCATTCAGGCTTCTTAAGCCAAACACATCCTATGGGTTTATCTAGAAATGACACCAGTGCCCTAGCAACTCATTTCAGGAGACTCGTAACTCTGTAACGTTATACAGTGAAATGAAATGTGGAAAACAACCCTGGCAAAACAGAAAGATGAAACGGCACCTGAACTGGATGCATGATATCTTTGAGTCTATATAAAAGGTATTCGTATTTTGCTAAAAAGTGCTAAAAAATACAGTGTGATGTAAACTCATTATCATATTGTACCCCTGTTATACTGCAGACTCCCCAGGGAGTCTTGAGAGAAAGTATTTAAATTGCCAAACTCTCAAAAATAGTCATCCATTAACTAGTCTCAGTGAACACAGTAGAGGCTTTCTATTAGTGCAAAACAACTTACTACAGTAGGGAGGAGGTTCTAAACAGAGGCCACTTTCTCTATCTGTTTACTTCTAGGCTGCAGGGAACTTCCAGCAGCACAGAACATTGCAGAGGTGCGTCAGAGCAGAAAATGTCAGGCAGTCACAGAGACCGGCAGATATTCCCAACATCCCTGACTGCCATGGCAACTACTCTGATTAAGAGACATGAGAGTAATACAGCCAGACAACTTTTTGAGCCACACAATTACACTGACTGAAAAAAACACAGTTACGGGATGTATCCCGTTAAAAAACATACTCAGAAGAACGTCACAAACTGTCTAAGTAGTTTTGAAAACATCTATACCAAATCATTCTTCATTTCAAAGTGTGTAAATTCACCTAAATTCAGACTGCTTAGGAAGAATTATGTTTAGAAACACCGAAATGAAACACTTTTGGTTAAGTGCTTTGACTGTCTCTAGACATTATTTTGTCAGCCTAACAAACTAAAGAGAAAGATCATTAACTTATACAGCTCAGGTATTGATGTATTTTTAGTTCTTCTAGAAGAAATGCAAGTGGGGGAAAAAAAACCCCAAACATAATCACATGATGATTTAGCACTCCATGGAATATAAACAGAGGTGAACACCTTACAGTGCAGGGATGAGTGGACTAATAGCACTGCAGAGCTAGGTTCCATTCCCTGAATGGCATATACAGTTAATTCCAAAAACTTTAAAAACCCTGAAATAGTTCATAATGTTATATGCCTTTTTGTGGCAGAAGCATTCTCAAATCAAATTCTACTTGCTAAGAAAGGTATCAGAGGCACACCCTGTCATATCATTGCTTCGTTTAATTTTCAACCACACTCGAAATTTTCGTTTTCACAAGTCTCAGGTATTAGATTATAGGGATCTACATTGCTAATTTTGAAAGCTGTCAGTTGCTGACAGTATTTTAAATACTTAAGACCTGAAATACTTAAAGCATAATCCACAGCACAAATGGAAACAGAAATGAGCAGAACACAAGTGCAGCAAACTGTAATTTTAAATTAGAATATGACCCAGAGTTTAAACCAGACCTACTTAAAACCAACTTTTAAACTACTCATATGAACGCGCAGTGCCTCTTACGAACTTCTCCAGCTACAGAATAAATCTAAGAACCCATCATAATTCCGTAGGACTCTGTTCATCAGTTGTCTAAAGAGACAATTCTTAATGTACACTAAACGTTTGTGATCCCAGAAAAATAAAGCAAAGATTCTGGCTTCCCAGATGCCCTTTCTGCTGCTCAACTATGATCTACAATCTGGAGAGAGTAACAGCAAGGGTGCCTTTCTGGAGCGCCTTTTTTTGCCCTGACAGCCGAGAACCTCCGTCATATCTCCTCAGTTTAATTTTGTGTTACTGACTCTTTAATAATTTTTGGTTTTGTAAATTTTACTCCCCAAACCAGCAGACTCTCATCTGAGAAAATGCCAAGTGTGCCAACAACTGCTGGACACAATAGGGTGCTGTCTCATTTATTAAAACATCCACTCACATAACCTGTTTTAATAGTAGCGCATGCCTTGGCAACACTAGACTAAACGTATACTATTGTTCTTCAAATAATAGTAATTGCTATAAAAAATAGTGATTAAATCTTGTATTCCTGAGTAATTTTAGGAAAAAGAACTGAAGCCCCAAAAACAACATTAACTTGTTTAAATTACCTATGTGGTTTAGTTTTGAAAGACTTCCTATGAACAGCAATATTCAGACAAATGTAAAAAATTCGATTTGTACAGAAGGTAACAATAATCTGACATAGCCGTGATGGCCATATGAAGTAAATGAAGTAAAGCTTTTAAGTATTTTTAGACAATGATAAAACTAAAAAACCTGACAACCTATCAGTCGCTCAAGCTCTCCTTCACAGCCGAAACAACGGCAGCAAATGCCAAGCTACGCGTACTGGCAAACCCAGCCTGACTTCAGGCAACGGCACGTGTTTCTTCTTAGGTATGTTCTGGGGTATTCTTAGCAATGGATTTCTAAGGACTGCAATGGATTTTAGGATCTACGTGGCTGTATTAAGATTCTGCATCTAGTCAAGCTGCCTGGTCCTAGTTCTACCACACTCACAGGCAAAAAGGAACAGGCAAAAATCTGCCACTCCTGCCCTTTTTGCAAAGCTATGCAAATGACACCGTAGCTGACGGCGGAAATGCCAGAGCTTCCTGGCAGGAAGAAATCACTCAGTTTTCAGCAAGATCTTGGGCATCTGCAGAGTCTACCCAGACTTCTGCTAAAGAGATCACAGGGAGGGTAGAGCTGTTCGCGTAGCTTCTCTGACACGCTCATGATCTCTCCATTGTGGACAGTCGATCTTAAAAATTTTGACTGCAAATACAAGTTATCCCAAAAGAAAGGAAGAGTTGTATCTTCGTGAAGAAAGAAATGTGTAGGTGCGAGCTCCACTTCTAAGAGAAAGATTTCCATATCTTCTTTTTTTATCCCACTGAAAGGTTTCAAGGAAATATCAGGTATTTGGCAGTTCCAAGTACATATCCTTACCAGAACACTTCTGGACTCCCTGTACTTTTTTAAAAGCTTTGTCTGTTTCATAGTAAGTTTATGGTTCTTTGCCTCTCGTTTAAGAATTTTCTCAATCTGTGGAGTCGCTTTCATCTTTGGCTTGAGACGCACCCGGTGGCTATCAGGAACCCGGAACTGGAAGCAGTAGGGACAGATGCTTTCTAATCCACATTCATTATCTACAGATTAATAAAGGTAAAAGAGTAAAACTTGAAATAATTACATTTTATAGGCAAACATTAAAACTGTGTGTTTCTATTTCAACATTTTCTAAGCAGAGACGTTCTTATTGTACGTTTCACATACAGCTAGAACACAAGAGGAAGCTGAGCACCGGTATGTGCACCAATATGTGCTCAGCTGAGCTCTATTAATGCTAAGGTTATGCACAGCGTAAGTTTACAGAATACATGAATTATACTGGAAAAATGCAATTCCTTCCTAAAAGTCTTTAACAACAGACAATTCCACAAGGAGCTCCACGGAGGCACGCTCTTTTGCCAGGTGAGTGACACCAAAGCCCATTTTAAGTGCAAGAAGATGACAGCATCTCAGCCTGGGATGAAGAAATGCTTTGAGTCGATTACAGAGCTAACAGTGCCAGGCGTGCTCCTGCACCTGCCTTATTACTGCCTGCTGCCAGGGCTGGACTCGAGCACCTCTCTCTCAGCCCCCCAGGAAACACCTGGACCCTGCTGCCTGGCACGTATGCCATGCCTGCCAGCAGCCCCAGAGCACACCCCGGCACAGTTTTGTGGGAGCAGCACAGGGGAAAAAGGAGAAAAAGGGAAAGGCTGCCCTCACTCTTAGGGCCCCGCTTCTGCCCTTCGGCTGCCCAGGCAACCCCCTACGCCCTGCTCTCCTACCGCGGGAGCCCCCGCTGGG